CTTTCATTTATAAAGTTATAATTGTACGACCCAAGCATTCTTGTTTATGACCAACCTCAGGCCAGAAGAGATTGTAAGATGCTAGAATTGTATTTGTACATCTTACTTTTGTGTGTTCAGGCCTTCTGAAGTCTTATAGAAAGCCTTTTGTCAGGTCAGAGCTGGCTCAGGAAGACGTTTTTCTGAGAACAGTAGGTGTAGGTCTTTGTATCACTGGAGGCCACCACTCGTGTCGCTTCAAATCTCTGAGGGCGATAACAAGGTGACCCTAAACAGCTCAACGCTCACCTGGGGGTCACTCAACCTGCCTTTGGGTCACCCATCAATTTGCACTTATCACTGTTTTGTGATTGGGTCCACATCTACTGGCATGATAAGATTTGTAAAACATACACCAATCAGCCATAATATTCTGACCACTGAGGGGTGGAGTGAATAACATTGGTTATCTCATTACAGTGGCACCTGGACGTGGGTGAAATTGAAAGGGGCATGGGCGGCCAAGGCTTATAGATGTCCATGGGGAGTGAAGTCTGGCTCATGTAGTCCGACCCAATAGAAGAGCTACTGTAGCTAAAATTGCTCAAAAAGTGAATGCTGGTTCCTATAAAATGGTGTCTGCACACACAGCATCGCAGCTTGTTGTGTATGGGGCTGGGTAGCTGCAGACCAGTCAGGGTGCCCATGCTGATCCGTGTCCACTGCCAAAAGTGCCTACAATGGACACGTGAGCATCACAACTGGACCACGGAGCAATGGAAGAAGGTGGCCTGGTCTGATGAATCATCATGTGATGGCCGGGTGTGTGTGTCACTTACCTGGGGAAGAGATGGCACCAGGACGCACTTTGGGAAGAAGACAAGCCGGCGGAGGCAGTGTGATGCTTTGGACAATGTTCTGCTGGGAAACCTCGGGTCCTGCCATTCATGTGGATGTTATTTTGATACGTACCACCGACCTAAACATTGTCACTGACCAAGTACACCCCTTCATGGAAACGGTATTCCCTGATGGCAGCGGCCTCTTTCAGCAAGATAATGCGCCCTGCCACACTGCAAACATGGTTTGAGGAACACAACAACGAGTTTGAGGTGATGACTTGACCTCCAAATTCTCCAGATCTCAATCCAATCGATCATCTGTGGGATGTGCTGCAAAAATAAGTCCGATCCATGGAGGCCGATCACCTCACAACTTACAGGACTTAAAGAATCTGCTACTGACTGCTTGGTGCCATATACCACAGCATACCTTCAGAGGTCTAGAGGAGTCCATGCCTGGATGGGTCAGGAGAAGGGGACCTACTCAATATTAGGCGAGTGGTCATCCAGATACCACAGCATGCCTTCAGAGGTCTAGTGGGGTCCATGCCTTGATGGGTCAGGAAAAGGAGGACCTACTCCATATTAGGGGGGGTCATCCAGATACCACAGCATGCCTTCAGAGGTCTAGTGGGGTCCATGCCTTGATGGGTCAGGAAAAGGAGGACCTACTCCATATTAGGGGGGGTCATCCAGATACCACAGCATGCCTTCAGAGGTCTAGTGGAGTCCATGCCTGGACGGGTCAGGAGAAGGGGGGCCTCCTCAATATTAGGGGGGTCCTCCAGATACCACAGCATGCCTTCAGAGGTCTAGGGGAGTCCATGCCTGGACGGGTCAGGAGAAGGGGGGCCTCCTCAATATTAGGGGGGTCCTCCAGATACCACAGCATGCCTTCAGAGGTCTAGGGGAGTCCATGCCTGGACGGGTCAGGAGAAGGGGGGCCTCCTCAATATTAGGGGGGTCCTCCAGATACCACAGCACACCTTCAGAGGTCTTGTGGGGTCCATGCCTGGACGGGTCAGGAAAAGGGGGACCTCCTCAATATTAGGCGGGTGGTCATACTATTATGGCTGATCGGTGTAAATATTCAATGATACATTATAAGGTTTCCAGTGCCGGCATTGTAAATGATTCGGTTTGCTTTGCCGTACGGTTCCTCTCTACACTCGGTCTAGTTGGCGTCAGTCATGCTATTGTATTACTGAGCTCCGGGCCTCTCCTCTCCGGCGCCGCGGTCTCTTCAGCTATGTAAAGGTTTGTTTTGCAGCACTTAATGCGTGTAATAAAGCGTCGAGGCGCGGAGCAGCGAAGGTCAGTCCTTCATGTAGTATATACAGCTGTTTGATTCCCCCGCCGCGGCTGAGCGTCCGCCGGGACAGCCGAGTGCATATTGCAGCGGATAATGAAGTGTACTTGTGGCTGGAGGCCGGAGACAACGAGCGCGACACTCCAGCGGGAAGATGGAGGCGTTTGATTGCATATTGCTACATTCCAAGCGCCGGGCTCGATAACTCATTTTCCATCCGTAATTCGGCGCGGGAACGATAATTATTTTTATTAATAGAGCGGCGGCGTTCGTCACGTAGAACAATGAATGTTTTATAAGATGGAGATGAATCCCAGCGGGGGAAAGATATTTCCTGACGGCTGAATTCTTTGTTGGCTTTTTTTAAAGAGCCGGAAATCCTCTTTAAAGCCAATCTGTCTCAGGTGACGCCAGAGCGCCGCGGCGTAGAATGAGGAGACACAACGCGGAAATCAATAACTTCACCGGGACATGGCGGATTGAGTAATGGGAAATCGGAGATTGCGGCCGCTGATTGAGAATGAGCATGTCGTCGTGATAAAAGTAAAATTGAACTTCTGCGCCATTCCTCATGCTTGGTTGTGGAAACGTGGGCAGCCCCCCCGTTATCCTCGTTTTTGTGCAGCACGCGCCTCAAGCGAAGTGCCCGGCGTAAGGTGCAAAATGGAAAATGCTGAGTGGAAGAGGCTGCAGTGTTATATGAATGAAGGCGTCCGAAGCGTCGTTTAAAGCTGAACTGCAGGCAGCTAGGAAAACAAGAATTAAATAATAATAAAAATAAATAATAATGATAATTATTAAATAAAATTAAATAATAATTGTGCATCCCTAATATAATAATTACATAAAAATAAATAATATTAATTAAATAATAATAAAATAAATAATACAAATAAATAATAAAATAATGATATGCATTATAATTTCAGGGTATATCCCAGGCGACGTTCATTGGACATGACTGGGGTGGTGCCCTTGTCTGGAATATGGCGCTTTTCTACCCAGAACGGGTCCGGTAAGCTCATGTGTATGGCTTGATTGCCGTGTGTTGATAAATAGAAGAAATCTTATGTCATGAAGATACATTGTAACTAAACTCTAATGCTTAAAGAGGGTAATTTAAAAAAATGACATATATGATGCAGTCCTGGTTTTCCTTCTGAACATCGTTTTTATTACCTGTTGATCCTGCCAGTAGATCCATTATACTTCCAGTAATAGGTGTGGCAACGCTGTTTTCTCTGCAGTGAAATCACACAGCAGCGTTGTCACCTTATTGCTTTAAATGGATTTTAAGTAAGCAACAATCGCATTATAGAACTCTGGGAAACTCCTTGTCTGGGGGGCCTGAAATAAGGAAGATATACTCACTCGATCCTGCGGCAGTCAGTGGTCACCTCTCTTGCCCTCTGCTCCAGCTGTGGAATGTCCCTCAGCGTCCTCATGTCTAATGCAAGTCAATGGGCTTGCGTTAAACGTGATGACATCACTGGTCTTTAGACTGCCAGGTTAGAAGAGACTGCGGCGACTGGTCTAGCAGCTCAGAGGGACTGAGCATCAGGTGAGTATATCTTCTTTTTTTGGCTCCACCTAGACAAAATGTGCAGTTAACCCTTGCAGTGCAGGGCTGGCCCCACTGCATAGATAACTTTTGTATTTTCCTGGAGTTCTTCTTTAAAGCTGAACTTTACACTTTTTAAAGCCTCCCGCCCCCCCCCCCTTCCTGCACTGCAAGGGTTAAGTGCTTGTTTATGCCAAGGGGACCGGAAGAAAGCTTACCTGATCCCCGCTTCCCCCGTGGTCATCGCTCACCTCTCATCCCTCCGGATGATTGAATGCCCCTCGGCGTCCTCACATCTTATGCAAGTCTATAGAACCTGCATTAGACATGATGATGTCGGCAGCCCTTAGACCACCCAGGGGAGAAGAGGCTGCAGGGACTGGTCTAGCAGTCCCTAGGGAGCCGGCAGTACCGAGGTATGTCAATCAGCTTTATCCGGTCCCCTAGGCATAAATGAGCACTTAACCCCTGTTCAGAGGGGGTAGCCCCACTGCAAGGGTAGTGTTTTTGGTTTGCCCAGAAATGGGCTTTAGGGGGATGCATTAAAGGAGAACTGTGGGGTTAAAGCTTTTCCCCATAGTTCTCCTTAGGGTAATGGGAGGACACAAACTAGCGTCCTCCCGTCACCCTAGGCTCAGTATACCGCGAGCTGTAGCTCACGGTATACTGAGACGCCAAAGCTGAAGCGGATCCCGACAAGTATGTCTGGATCCGCCCAGCTGCGTGACTGACAGCTGGCTCTGCCTACCTAGAGGCAGAGCCAGCTGTACGTGCCCCCTCCCCCGTCCGTTCCGCCAGTCAGCGCTGGCGGAGCGGGGAATCCAGCCCCTCCCCTGTCACGGCAGAGAGCCGTGACAGGATCGAGAAGTGAGCAAACGCCGGTATGTGTTCGCTCACCTCCCGATCTACTGAGCCGACCTGTGACAGTCTCATTGTCACAGGTCGGCTAGAACTATGAGGTGAGTGAAAAGCCCCTCCCCCCCCCCATAGTTCTCCTTTAACGTGTTTTTTGGTTTCTTTTGGGAAAAAAAAGATTTACACTGTATCGGGTATAAAATGGTTTGCCCCAACCCCGGTCACTTTTGCTGGACAGTTTGGCCTGCTAAGGTAGATGAGAAACTAACCAGGGTCATTCACAGTTGAGCGTGACGACTACTACTGCTATCTACCCAAAACCGTACACATTCAGAATACCGACTCCCACACCTCTACAATGACGCATGTGCTTCCTTACAGGGCGGTGGCATCACTGAACACCCCGTTCTTTGGGATTAATCCAGATGTCCCAGCCAGTGAACTGGTAAAGGCCAACCCGATCTTCGACTACCAAATATATTTCCAGGAGCCGGTAAGTCTATAGACAGTTCATGGCCGTTGTATGCTGACAGTGCAGAGCGGTGCTGCAGCTGGGAAAGATCCCGACTATATTGTTGGGATCCACCCTGCTGCCTTATTGACAGCTGGCTCTGCCCCTCTAGAGCCAGAGCCAGCTGTGCCCGCCTCCTTCCCTGTCTATTTCTCCAAGGAGGGCTCGAGGAGCAGGCGGGGGGGGGGGGAGTGGTGACTGACAGTCATTGCTCTCTGCAAGGAGGAGACCATGAGCTGAGCGATCAGCGGTCCCACAATCGCTCAACTCTCGTTATTTAGATCTGGCGCATGACAGTGTGGACTACACGCGCTGGATAAAGGAAGTGGATGCTGAATGTCAGCCTGTCTCAACCAGGGTTCCTCCAGGGGATGCTAGGGGTTCCTTGAGCAATTCAGATAAGGAACCAGATAAGGAACCACAGACACCAGTGATTTTTTTAGCTATCTGTAAGATCGTGTTCTTCCCACTAAGTACCAATGGTAATGGAAATTCAGCACTCCGCCCTAACCAGGGTGAAGGAGCCCTTCTCCAATGACCACCAATAAATGGAGGCCCTTCTTTCTTGACCACCAATAGAAGGGGAGCTCTACTGGCCACCAATATAAGAGGTCCCCTCTCTACTGGCCACCAATATAAGCGGGCCTCTCTCTACTGGCCACTAATATAAGAGGGCCTTTCTCTACTGTCTCCGATATAAGAGGGCCTTTCTCTTCTGGTCTCCAATATAAGAGGGCCTTTCACTTCTGGTCTCCAATATAAGAGGGCCTTTCTCTACTGGCCTCCAATATAAGAGGGCCTTTCTCTACTGGCCCCCAATATAAGAGGGCCTTTCTCTACTGGCCTCCCATATAAGAGGGCCTTTCTCTACTGGCCTCCCATATAAGAGGGCCTTTCTCTACTGGCCTCCCATATAAGAGGGCCTTTCTCTACTGGCCACCCATATAAGAGGGTCTTTCTCTACTGGCCACCCATATAAGAGGGCCTTTCTCTACTGGCCACTATTATAAGAGGGCCTTTCTCTACTGGCCTCCCATATAAGAGGGCCTTTCTCTACTGGCCTCCCATATAAGAGGGCCTTTCTCTACTGGCCTCCCATATAAGAGGGCCTTTCTCTACTGGCCTCCCATATAAGAGGGCCTTTCTCTACTGGCCTCCCATATAAGAGGGCCTTTCTCTACTGGCCTCCCATATAAGAGTGCCTTTCTCTACTGGCCACTATTATAAGAGGGCCTTTCTCTACTGGCCACTATTATATGAGGGCCTTGCTCTACTGGCCAACAATATAAGACAGCCCTTATCCAACTGACCACCAATGTGGAGGGGCACTTCACTGACCACCAATTTAAGGGGGCATGAGCTTATGACATGTTCCTTAGTCTTATAAATATTCTCATAAATCTTACTCTTCATGCTAATGTACCATGAGTGGAAGATATAATAATTAGTAGCAGGAGTTCCCTGAGACCAAAGAGCTATTTCAAGGGTTCCTCCACGTTAGAAAGGTTAGGATCGAGGCTGCTGTATGGGCTTCTTCCAACAATGAAGGTATACATTATGTGAAGGGTCTTCTCCAGTCCTATGGTTCCCCATGCTATGTGCCTTCTACAATGGCAGCAGGATCTTATTCCAGTTCTGTGTGGAGCTGACAGTATACAGAACATGGTTATTGGGCATCAACACCGAGCAGAGATGGTCAGCGCATGCTGGGAGTTGTAGTATCACACCACCTGGGTAACAGTTATGTGGAACTGGCTTGTTGCATCACACTTAGACAATGACATGGAATAACGGCACACTGTTTTGTTTTTGGAGGGTGTTGCCGAGGCCGAGCTGGAGAAGAATCTGGAGAGAACATTCAAAATATTCTTCCGCGGGACAGGAGAGATGGTAAATTTTTCATGTCAACCTTTGGCTCTACCTCCATCTTGTGTGTCTCTATTCCACCCGCTATAGAAGATTTATTTTTTAATACAAGCATTCATATTGCACCACCAACTTACAAACAATTCATTCATATCAGTCCCCGCCCTTGAGGAGCTTACACTCTAAGGTCCCTCTCTCGCCAGGTTTCCTACACATACTATAGGGCCAATTAGGACAGGAGCCGATTAGCCTACCAGCACTGATCACCAATACAAGTGGGCTCTTCTCCTCTCATCAACAGTATAAGGGGCTCTTCTCTACTGGCTGCCAAAATAAGGGGGACCTTCTCCACTGACCATCAATATAAGGGGGACCTTCTCCACTGACCATCAATATAAGGGGGACCTTCTCCACTGACCATCAATATAAGGGGGACCTTCTCCACTAACCATCAATAAGGGGGGCCTTCTACCATTATATACCATTATAAGGGAGTCTTTCTCCACTGACCACTGATATAAGGGGGTCTTTCTCCACTGACCACCAATACAAGAGGGCTCTCCACCATTGACTACTAATATAAGGGGACCCTTCTCCACTAAACACCAGTATAACGGGCCTGGGTTCATACACATACAAGGGCCAATTAGGACAGGAGCCAATTAGCGGAGAGAGATACAGAGACGGAGAGAGATACAGAGACGGAGAGAGATACAGAGACGGAGAGAGATACAGAGACGGAGAGAGATACAGAGACGGAGAGAGATACAGAGACGGAGAGAGATACAGAGACGGAGAGAGATACAGAGACGGGGAGATACAGAGACGGAGAGAGATACAGAGAAACATTGTTACTTTTGTATCTACTCTGTTACACTCATCTGCAGATCAAAGGGATGAGTCAGTTATAGCATAGCATGGGCCACTATGGCGCCCAGATGAAGGGACCCTGCGTGGCCCCGAAATGTGATATATGTGACCCTACACATCAGTAAATGTACACAGAGATTTAAAACGATATCTTTCGAGTGCTGGTGATCTACTACGTTCTCAAGCTTGAACATACACGGCGCTATCCGTGTTTATCACTGCGAGCACCACATCTGCTACAGGTTGTAGACGCTGAAAGGAGCGCAGGCGACACGTCTGTATACTAAGTTATAGCAAGCTGACAAGAAAGTCAGATTTGTTGCTATATACCCCTATTAACCTTCATTTACTCTAATCAGCCCTAATTAACTCCTTCTTCTCCTTCTTCCCTTAACTGTTATTTTCCATATTTTGTTTTGTTTATTTCTATTTATCAAACAATTAGTATTGAAACTTTTTTTGCAGTTTGCTTAATTCTGTCTGTTGATTAAAAAAGGACAAAATTAAAAAAAATAAAACTTTAATTTGTAAATAACTGCAGAATCAAAAATGTTTATTTTTTTTATCTTAGTTTATCTTAGATGCCTATTTAACTCCTTCTTTCCCTCCTCCCATTAACTGATTTTCCTGATAATTTAAATGCTACGCTATTAACCCTTTGTTTATCCTAATCAGCCCTAATTAACTCCTTCTTTCCTTAAAAGAGAACTATGAGGTCAGGGCTTTTCCCCATAGTTCTCCTTAGAGTAACGGGAGGACACAAACTAGCGTCCTCCCGTCACCCTAGGCTCAGTATACCGCGAGCTACAGCTCATTATATACTGAGACCGCCGCAGCCGGGACGGATCCCGACATTACTGTCGAGATCCACCCAGCTGCGTGATTGACAGCTGGCTCTGCCTATCTAGAGGCAGAGCCAGCTATGAGCCAGCTATACCCGCCCCCCCCCGCGTCCGTTCCGCCAGTCAGCGCAGGCGGATCGGAGCGGGGAGGGGGGAATCCAGCCCCTCCCCTGTCACGGCAGAGAGCTGACCTGTGACAGTCTCATTGTCACAGGTCGGCTAGAACTATGAGGTGAGTGAAAAGCACCCCCCCCCCCTCATAGTTCTCCTTTATAATTTTCGTGATCATTTATTTCTATTTATCTAATCAGATACTTTGTACCAGAATCATGATTTTAATGTCATTCTAAGTGGAACAAATTGTAGAATACAATTTTATATTTTTATCTACAGTAACGATATATATATATGTATATACTGTATATTTCTTTTTTCTTTTTTTAACTAACACTGGAAAAAAATAATTTAGTTTCATTTTGCTTTTTGTCTGTGAAACCAATGAAAAAAAAAGTTAAAAAATGTAAAAAAATTGGAAAAATGGAAAATTAAAAAATAACAGAAAAAAAAATTACAAATAATTTTTAAAAAAGCCACACTCCGATCTGACCGCAAGTGATGGACTCCTGTCCCATAATGAAGCATCTGACAGATGCCGGCAAAAGAAAAACAATTGGGCGGGGCTGGCGGTGACAGCTAGCTCCGCCCAACTGTTTCCTATTGGCCGGCACCTGCCAGAGTCTTCTAGCAGGTCCCAGCCAATGAACAACATCACCTCACGGCCAGCTCCACCCAGTTGTTATTGTTTAATGACTGATCATTGTCCGCAGGTCGTTTGGGGACGCTGTTCTGTCATTGCAACTGGGCGGAGCCAGCCGTGAGATCACGCCTGGCTCCGCCCAGCTGTCATTTGCATGGACATCGGTCGGCTTGGGGCCGACCGTTCTCCATGGTTCGGGTTTCACTGGGGCTCAGCTATAGTGAATTGCCTGTACAGCAGTCCTTCGTTCCGACTGAACGGAGCGGCGCCGGTGGCCGAAGAGAGGCGAAGGATCAGCCGAAGCTAGGGCTGGATCCTTCAGGTCTTTAGTGAATACAGTAACCCCCTAAATAAATATA